GGTACTCAATATAGGACAAGGTATACATTGTAGCCTTCAACAGTTCATCAAAATACCAACTCTATCACTTTCAAGCAACACAAGATAGTGGTATTATGTTAATAGTTATATTAATAAGTATATAGTGTAAACATTATGTCACTTAATACAGGAAGTGGTTGACTTCATTTGTACTTTCAGTCACAGACTGGCTGACCTTGAAGCCATTATGCTTACTATGCAGTCAGTACTGTAACAACAGCATATGGAGGGGAAACTTTTGAATTTTGACAAGTAAAAACAATTATTGCAGCTGTTGTATAAACCATGCTCTTGTTTTACAGTTGGACATTTTTATGATTATTATAATAAAGTAATTCTTTTTATTATCATTATTAACATACAGTGATGAAACAACCACATAACTTAACAATAATAATAATAATAACAATAATAATAACAATAATAATAATAATTTAATTATTATTTATCAATTATAAGGTGCATGGTTTGATTAGAAGTTGTTACAACATTCCAAATCCTTTACCATTTCTAATGGCAGTCAATAATCTCTCTTTTAACTTCTCCTTTGAACTGTACTCACAGAGTAACAATGCATTGAAACAAGTATGAGCAGTGGGTAACCTATAGACATTAGCATAACATTGTGTACTGTACAACAATGCAGTGAATACACATTATACATAAAACATACATGTACATGTACATGTATGTACACATTATACATGTACATAAAGCAGACAGTGTGTGTACATGTACATGTACAAGTATTCATTCAGTCAGTGTCAATGCTATGTACATTGTACATGTCATTTTTCTTTACTTTAAATAGGTTATTTTTTGTTTATAAAAATGGTGTCATTTAGCTACATGTACATGTATATCCATGTACATGTACATGTACAATTTTCCTATATTTTCAAAAGGTGATCTTATTTTTTTGTTTATAAAAATGGTCTCAATTAGAAACTACACATACATGTACATATACATTATTATTATTATTATTATACATGTACCTGTCAGAGTCAGGTCCATTCTTAACGATGACCAGTTTGAGGTTGGATAGTCCGCCCACTGGCACTCGATCAGATCCGGTCACAAAAGCTAGCAGCTGCTTCTTCTCGTCTTCGTTAAACTCGTAAAACACCTCCCAGAAATTACTAGAAAAAGAACAAAAACCAATACACATGTACATGTACATGGAAATTTTGGCTATTTAAAAGTCCCGGTATTTCCCCAGCAGCTGTACATGTACATGTATCTCTTACATGATGACGGAGTGTGATTTTGAAAACCCATCGTAACGAGTGTTCTCCTCCAGCGAATTGAAATCCCATTCCTATTGACAAATAAAAACCAAACAATTACATATAAAACATTTAAACAATGTTCACGCCATTGTTACATGTACTTCTATTTAATGCCCATGCTATTCTATTTAATGCTCACCTTGCTTCCACACACTAACATCTCCACCTCCTCAGCAGTGAAGAGATCTGCTAAGTGTTTGTCCTTCATTACGAGATCAAAACCTTTCTTAAAGGCATCAAACTGCTTAGCAATCGACTTATTTAACAACCAATCAGTATAAAGATCAACATATTCCTGAAATAAAAAATAAATTTAAAAATGTACACGTA